ACTTGTTCCTTTGCAGCCTACGCATGCTGACGCAGCTACCCACCTGAACTATATGATCTAATGATCATCTTAATGGTCTAACTTTGTGTGGTTTTGTATGGCTGGAAAAGTAGACACAAACCTATTACTTGTTCCTCATTAGATCATATATATAATATTACATTGTATTATATAATAATGCACATCATATGCTATACATTATTATTGTTGATGTTAAGTAGTAGTATATATAGTAATATAATATATAAAACATACAGTATATTATGTATTACATTATATATCATATATATGATCATTACATTATATAATTTAAAAAGTCATTTTCTGCAGATGTGCAGGACTGAAGGAAGGTAAATTAATACATTGATTTCTCCTAAAAATTTGAATTCTTAATTTTCAAAAACACAAAAATATTGAAAATACAAAACTAAATGCAGTGTTAACATGTCAGCCTTGTACATGTGGAAGTTATTTCTTTAATTTCGATTGATTTCCATTCAGATTGTACATGGCCGTGTGATTTCTGACTAAACATAAACCAGTACCAACGTCGACTTCCTTTTTACTCCAGCGTAATCACATAGATACACAGACTCAGTTAATGACTGTTTTGGTGAGGAGTTACCTCTATCCATAACAAATCTTACAGCACCAGAACTCCTTCCACTACAACAGGGGAGGAGACTCCACCCTGAGCTCAGGCTGAACACACAAAGCTTACACATCTGCTGGTTCAACACGGCAACTGGACCAGACTCCTCACACTGCCACATCCTAGAACAGAATCATGGACATCTTCTCAGCATGGGAATGGGAAAGAAACGATTCAATTCAGTTTCAGTTCAAACTGCACTCTCCCCCTTGGGAAACCTGTCCAAATAAAGTCCAACACAATAAAAACAGGCAGACATCACCAAGAAAGAATACAGTACAGCCGTGTTTCAGAAGATAAGAGAGTTATTTTTACATTGTTTGAGAGTGGGAGTTCACAGGAGACAAATAAAAATTCCTGAGTCAATGACTGTTAAACTGAGGACACAGAGGAGTCTCCCAGGTGGGAGTAGTGTAAATTCAGGGCGTGAGTCACACACTCCATACTGCTCTTAGCCTTTTTTATAACCCTCTGTTTGTAGAGGGGATTTAAGTTTATTTGATCTGGCCCAGTGATTTTGCTGACTAAAGATTTTGCTGCCTAAAGGTGAGAGGCAATGGCGCTGCCTCACAGCACTGGGGCCTTGAGTTCAATTCCCGAGGTGCTGTCTGTGTGGAGTTCGCCTGTTCTCTAGGTGTTTCCCTCCAGTCCAAAGACACTGGTAAGTTATCAGGCTGCTAACTTATCAGGCTTCTGAGAAAACTGGCGTGTGTGTGAGTGTGTGACTGCAAGCACACTTTGTGCCTGTGTTTGCAATAGTTTGGTATCCCTTTCCAGGGTGCACCCTGCCCTGTGCCCACTGCTTGCTGGGATAGGGTACCCTACCCTGTGCCTACTGCTTGCTGGGATAGGGTACCCTGCCCTGTGCCCACTGCTTGCTGGGATAGACTTCAGTTTCCCTGCAACCCTGTATTGGTTAAAGTGGTTAGAAAATAGATCGATCTTCACTAATTTTCAAAACCTACAGTATTACAGTTAACTGATATTGCCAAACCAACAAGTGTGACAATATGGTAAAACAATTTTAATAAATGAGAGTTTAACCCTGTGCTGAAAAAGTGAAGAAGGCACCACAGCCAAACCTGTTTCTTCTTCTTTCTTTTATTCATCAGCATATATTTAACCTCTGCTTTTTCCTTTTCTCATGCATACCGTAACATCTCGTAGAAATGTCACACAAACTTGCCGGGGAGCCACAGCCACAATAACAGAACCGCAGGCTTCTCATCAGAGCGCTGTGATCACTGTTGAATCGTGAGATCGACTGATGAAGCTCAACCAGCAGGAAGGAGGTATTTTCCCACCAATATCTGACTCATTATTCACAACAACATCAATTCTGCACAATGGCTGTTAACATGAGACTTGCAGGTTAAAAATGTGCAAGACTGATGAATTGAGGAACCTTGTCTGTATACTTTTACTACTAAGATTTCAGTTTTGTTTTTATTGCATTTCAAAATGCTCAAAGACTAATTTCTTATTATAGCTTTCTTTGACGGATGGTATAAATCATATGTGATTGTGATATGTGTCATCAATGTTGTTTGTTTGTAGTACACAGTAAAGTGAAAGGTTTGCGTCTTTAGGTAGTGAAGCCTTCCTCAATATGTCCCCCTGACCACATCACCAGACTTGTCACTTTCATGCCTGACTTCGCAGACAAAATGAGCATGGAAGAGAGATATCCCCCAGTCAGCAGGTCTGAGACAAGAAACCATCTTGGGCATTATTCCCCACAAACTCCCAGCAGGAGGAATCCTCATTTTCACGTTTTTTTTTTCCCAAAAGAACTCTATCACTAACAATAAATAGAATCAAATATGGAGGCTAGTGTAAAGAGAGTCAGATATCCGTGAGAGCCTGGGTTAAACATAATTAGGCTGAATCTCATACTGCACCAATAACCAGCGCACTAGACCAGGTGAAGTTAAGGGACATCTGTGCCTATTCTCCTAGATTTGTGAAACTGCATGTCCATTCTGATTGATTACAGTCTTCCTCCTACAATTTTCAGGGAGCTTTCCCATACTGTACGTAACAACTGATATAAATTAAAATGATAAGCTGTGACATTGTCTCAGAACCTGCTGCATACAACAGACAATTGTATATAATATGAGTCCGCGGAAATGACTTCTGCAATGATTTACTTGCAAGTTGCTTAGGAAATGTTCGGCGAGTCACCCAATTGCATAAAGCGGGAACCTAAAACGACACCCAGCAAAACGCAGGCGCTACTCAGAAAACGAGATACTGTACGTAAAAAGTTCAATTTGGATCCGTGTAATAACGATGCGGATATTTTTGGAGAGGAAGGCCCTGAGACTTTTGAAATGAATGAACCTCCACAGCCCTGCGTTTTAGTGTGATTCCACACCCGGGGCTGTTAAGACAATGACACAGAAATTGTGAAAAGAAGTAATACTTCAGGGTCAGGCTTAACTCTGCCCATCATCGAGGCTACCTGGTATCACTCCTCATTATTCCCTGTTACTGCGTGGTTCACTGGCTTTTGAGATCACTGGTCCTGACTCAGCTCGCCAGCCCGGGTCCTGAAGGTTGCCCAGGTCTCTCCACAACACCCGCGGCCGAGGAGCCGGGAAAGGCTGTGAACTTTGTTCAGCCGGCAATGGAAACCTGCAGAGACACAGGCCCTCCAAACTGTCTAAAAACGGGGGAACCCTACAGTGAACGTTTCCTCCCCGAAAGTGAAGTCGCAGACACGGCGGCATCCACCTGGGCTCATGATAGGAAGCGACCACTGCAAGGGACGGGCCGCGACACCGCCGTTGCAATCGCAGACCCGCCACGGTGAGCCATCCCTGCTGATGAACACGAACATGCGTTACTACCTGCCAACGCAGGAGGTAGCACGTACGCAAGGACTTCAGTACCTCAAGCGCAGTTTCACTGCCATAAATTCCCACGCTTGTTTCGTGGACAGGCCGGCACGTTTTGCACGTCTCAAAACCTTATTATTTTTTTTCTCCTTCCTAGCGACATCTTCGCCATTCTTTCGCGGATGCCTCATCACAATGCAATAGCAAAAAAAACAACAACAACAACAACAACCACAACAACACAGGATACTAACGCGGGTTGGTGCTGAATAACCCCCTTTAAGTGCTTAGAGAATACGGGACACGGTTTCGTTTTGCTTGGCGTTTTTACTGCTTTTGCTAAACATTCGTGCATCTCGTTTGGAAGTTTTTAAAAATAATAAAAGTATTGCCCATCGTTCGCGCAACGACAGTTGAAACAATTAGCTTTTAGAGTTTTTCAAGCACGGATTTAACCCCCAGAGAAGATGCTGTAGCAAAGCTACAGGACTCTGCTCCACGGAGCCTATTTTCCATTTCCTTCTGTAGATGTTTACGGATTGCTATGAAAACACAGCACTTTAAAACAAGCAACTTCCTTGGAGATAATGCGGGTCACGCAACAGCTTTAATTTCCCAGCCTTTATGTTACAAATAGACTCGGGCAATACCTGGTAAGGGACTATCAACAATGACATGAAGAAAAGCGGCTTTTTTATAAAATCTGTTTTCGTTTTGCCATTTATTAGAAACAGGCCGCGTACGACACGTTGTCTCAAAAAGCAAGTGGCTTTACTTTGACGAGTGGCGCACGTGTATCTTCCTTTTAAATGACAAATTATTGGAGTAGCACGTTTTTCACACAGGCCTTAATCTTTACAGACCTCCCCTAGCTCAAGTTAGCCTTTCCTCCTGCTTCCCCGCAGCAACGTCAAGTTCATGTTTCACTGGACAAGTCAAATACACGCCCATTCCCCCGCTCTTCGCCAATCAGGAGCTAGCAAGCTGTGCTATCCGACCAATGGGCGCTTAGGAGGCTGGGTCACACGTGCTGTTGCTAGGGTTCAGCTTCTAAATTGTTACTATCGAGGTCTAGCCAATCAAGACCCAATTCTCAGTGCATGAGCGTTCTATCAACATTTTACTGTAACCCCAGCGGCAGAGGCTTGCCATTGGCCAGAGCCGGCCTATAGACGACGCCCCCTTGCCACACCGTGCAATGTGATTGGGCGGTGGGTTTGTCAATCCGTGAGTCGCTGTTAGTTGAGGAGCAGTTTGATATGGACTTGGTTGGAAGTCCCCCAGATTCCGAACAGACCAATTCCAATTGACCTCTCTGATTTCGTTTTAATATATATATTTTTACAAAAGATTTTGTGTATATAATTTTTTATTTTTTAATAAGACAGCGAGATGGAACTGAACTCTCTTCTAATTCTCCTGGAGGCTGCAGAATACTTGGAGAGAAGAGACAGAGGTATTTTATTAAAACTGCCTTCTTCGTTTTGCAGGGAAAGAAAATCGTGCACATATATTGCAGACACTGCTGGGAAATAGTTTTGCCCAGGACTAGATGCTATACTTTTTTTAAAGTCGTATTTTGCACCCAGTTTAGCTGGAATTTGAAACTAAACATGCACACTGCTAACCTGCTACGTGTAGCTACTTAGGGGATTCGCTGTAGTCAATAAAATGTGGAGCGAAGTATTTATGCTGTCTTTTATAAAAACAAAAACAATAATGCATGACTCCAACAAGCTCTGGTCTTTATGTAGCCTTTTGGTTCTTACGATACGTCTCTTCATGTCGTTTGCAGATACAGTATTTAGCATATTGTGATCACAGTATCATAATAATACAGTGAATGACATTCCTGTCAGTCATGTTATTATTTGAACGATCTGAGGACATTCGTGTCTGCAGTCTCATCGGCGATGATTGTGTGCATTTGTCTGAAATGAAGTCCTCTGTTAAGGTCCAGCAGATGTTGCAAAAGCCATTAACGATGATTTTGTTTACTTTGTTATTAGAAGCAGAACATGGTTATGCATCAGTTTTACCGTACAATAGCGACTTTTCCAGAAAGAAAACGAAAGCTTCGCCAATTTCAAGAAAAACTCAGAACAATAGGTAAATATTGGTTCTTTTGTCGGTACAGTAAAAAAAAAAAAAGCAACAACCAGATACTCTGCTGTTCATCGTTATTCGGCTTTGTTAATTCACCTCTGCCTCTCATGTCAAAATCGCCATTTTCCCTGTAGGGCTTGGCTCTGTCTGTTTTGATATAAACACTGCCACGCGTACATCAACTTCACAACTCCACTTTCTCTCAGCCCGCTTGTGCTTTTAATCTCTTACCACAATATAAAGCCCCGCACTGCTACCTGAGATTATTTTCCTTCTTCTGCTGCTGGGGAGGGCTGGAGCACCCCCCCACACCCCACTTGATCATCTCCCCCACCCCCCCGCACACACACACACACACCTCCCTCCTCTGCCAGTAATTACACTTGATTCCTTTAATCGGTCGGAAAGATGTGGATTTTTAAAAAAAATATATATATTTTTTTGGTATAGTCGAGTAAGCATTGTGTACACTCCTCCTTGACTTCTGGTGTATTTGTCACGACATGTCAGAAAAAAACAAAACAAATCCGTCAGCGTGTGGGACCCCCGCTGGCATCCCGCATCGGGACCGGGTCGTGCGAGTTCACGGGACGGTCCGGGGGAAGAAGCGACTTCCTGGCAGGTTTTTTTTTTTTGGGGGGTCCTTTTGGGATTCAGTTTTTTGATTTCTTCAAGCGTCCCCGAGATTTCCGGCCGGCTCCCGGGACGGGCGCACTCCTCGGCTGTCCATGTGGCTGACCAGGCGATGCCCCGAGCAGGCTGTCTACGTGCGTCGTCTCTTAAAGCAATATTTCACCCTTTTTTAAAACAACAACAACAACAACAACAACAACAACTCTTTTTCTCCAGCTGATCCCGACGAAGTGGCACAGGCGTGCGACGCAAAACGCAGGAGCTATTTCGACACGGGGGCATTGCAATAACGCGCGGCTGTCGTCCGAGGACTGGACTGTACCTGTCGGTCATGATGATACCATTTTTATTTTTCCTGTGCAAGGGCCGGCTTGGGTTGGCCGGCGTGAGCCCCGAGCTCCGTGCTCTCCGCACAGTCGTGGCGTGTAAAAAATAATAACTCTCGTGTTTGTTCAGCACCGCGTTCTCCGAGTTTGTGGCTTTTAACATTTTGGGGGTAGCGCCGCGACACTTTCAGTTTAGTGTTTCGTACGGTCGTGGAGAAATAGCGGGGGTTAAGAAGTAGGAAATGAAGGATAGCTACTCGTCGTCCGTTAACGCGGAGCAAGCCCGGAATTAAGTTAAAAGTCGGAACTTTTATTTTGAGAGGCACCCACGACAGCCTCAAACGTTGATCTTTTTTTTTTTTGTAATGCGCCGAACAGGTTTTCTTAGTTTCAGCGCTGAAACGAAAGCGTGACGTCTATCAGCGTGCGAATTAAAAAAAAAAAATATTTACACTGTGTAGTGTTTTTAAGGCAGGGCAGGAAAACAAGAGTTGCGTGCTCCACGGTGTTAACATTCATGACAAGTCAAATTGCGGAGATGTGTGGTCGATACATTTCATCATTCGCCTCAGGGAGTGGTGATGTGCTTTCCTGCTGCCAGGAAATGCCAGCCCCAGTGTAAATTCCGGGCCATGTGTGCTCCTGACAGCCGCGCCGGCCGGCCGCCTGGGATGGGGCGATCACGTGTGCGCGCGCCAGGGTAATTAATTAATTGGACCAGCCGCGGGCAGCCTTCACCTCTCTGCTGCTGCTGCCGCCGCTGCCGAGCCGAGCCGAGCCGAGCCAGCAGGACGGACCCCTCCCGCTTTGTTCAGCTCTTGAAGACCGACCAGCTGTGCGCCGCACGCCGCCTTTCTTAAAGTGACAGCGCGGCGCAGGACTGCCGATGTGTTAAAACTCTCCCAACTCCTCTGCTGTAGCTAAGTGGCGACCCCAGCGCCAGGACAAGAGGGGGGTTAAACAGCCCTGCCTAATTGCCACTTCTGTATAGTCTAGAAAAAGGGGCGTCTCTCGGGGCCCCGAGTGTTATCCCTTGGAGTCAGAAAGCCGTGTTATGCGCTGGGTTTGTGTGCAAAAGCCGAAATGAAAGGGAATTGTCTTGCCGTGGCCCGATGTGCCCACACCCTCTCCACGGCTTGTAGAAATTACCTGTCTACAGAAGTTACACCTGTACAGAAGTAATGCGTGACGAGAGAGGGCCCATAACATTCCAGGTGTGAGTTTTGGTGTTTTTGTTTACACGAGGAATGTGTATATACACAAGGAAGGGTGTAAAAAAAGCGTAGTTCTTGTATCTTGCAGCTCTGCGCTTGTTGCTCTGCGCATGTGAGGGGAAGATAAACTCGAGGCTTCTTCTCTGGACTATTTTTGCACCAGAGATAAAATGCGTTTAATTTGCTCAGCTTTTAAAAGCGCTCCTCTCTTTATTTTCTTCTTCTGGGAACACAAGATATCGAATTTTAAACATTTCAGGGTCAGTAAGAGCCTTAAAAGAGAATAACAGGCCAAGGGCAGAAAGGATGGGGGAAATACAGGGATTTGTTATTGTGTCGGGGTAACATTTTTGAGCGTCTGAATTCACAGCAATGAAAGAAAGCTGTGCACTGATGGCTCACCTCTTCAGAAGTGCACAGTATTGGCACATCATGAAGAGATTCTATTCTTTACAATGTCTGATTTATATTGAACGTCAGTGTTGCCCAGTAGCTGTTCAATCAATTTATTTGTGCTAAAATGCAATAGTAAATACATGAGCAGATCTCAGATAACATTGAATTTGTCAGCAGCCTTTTTTTTTTAGTGTGCATTACCTATTATTTTCTGCACTGCTGGGGGCCAGTGTTTTAACGAATTGAAAAGATTACAATTAAGAAAGTCTTAAAAAAAAATCAGGGGACATTTTATTCTTTGCGTCCGCTTCTGACTCGACATAATCGTGTCCCGTAGAGGTTGTGTGACATTGAACTGTTAATTGAAACCTTCAGGTTTTCGCAGTGGCGCAGTCGTTAGCAGTGCCCTTTCCCTGTGTGCAGTTCCGGACCGGGGGTGCTGTCTGTGTGGAGTCTGCACGTTCTCACTCGGTTTCCCACTGTCCTCCCACAGCCCGAAGACATACTGGCAAGTTTATTGAGGATCGGGAAAACAGGCCCTGGTGTGAGCGTGTGTGGGTCTGGGGGGTACCCCGCCTTGCACCCCCTCTGCTTGCTGGGATAGGCTCTGGCTCCCCCTGTGACCCCCCTTTGGATAAAACGGTTTGAATTGAGACGAGTGGATGCAGTCCAGGCCGGCTTTTTATTTTCCCTGCTGCCTTGTGTGTCCCGCTCCCCCTTTCGAAAATCCGACTCTTACTGCCGGGAGGGGAGCACGAGGCCGCTCATTCCCTTTCCCCTCCTGAATGTCGGCATGCGCTCCGGGCCCCTTCTTCAGCCGAGCCTTGGCTGCCCTCTGGAGTCCGGGGTCTGACCCACAGCCAGCCGGGCTCCCCAACAGAGCGGCGTCTTCAAGGAGCGGTCGTCCATCCCGTTATTCCTCCTCATAGGTGAAAATCATTTCTGTCACCTCGAAATCGGTTCCTGATAGCCTCCCCCACCCCCGACTCCCCCCCACCTTTTTGATAATGAGCTCTACCGCACGCAGAATACCAAAATATGGGTTCACACCTTGATCGCAAAAAGGAAAAGGGCCGGGCCGTTACTCCTTGCACTTGATTTGAGTTTTATGAGGTGTCGTTTTTACAGGCAGGTGCCTTGCCTCATTAGCTGACGTGCACATTTCATGTGCTATCGGTGCACTACAGTCCAGCTTCTCAGGCCGGCTGTTTTCTTGCACAAATCGAACATCGGTTTCCCTGCCTTTATCCGGCATATTCCTACGTGCCCTTCCCTGGCCTGTTTCTCGCCATTGTTTTTCAGACGCTGCTCCTCTCCAGACTGAAAATACCCTTTTTTGTTTTTTCAATTTTTCACAGCCGAACGCAGACAAGAACCGCAGTACTTCTGCCGTACGATGTGCAAAGCTTTTAAAAAAAAAAATAGAACGGACTTCAGCTCCGCATCGCCCAGCGGGGTTTCGCAAAACCATAGGTTATGTAAATTCGTGGCTGTAATTGTGTGTGTGTCAGGATTTATATAACGTGCACGGTGTTGTACAAGAGTCCACTTTAGAACCAGTCTTCTGGCTCATTGCATGAGAACCAAGCTGCTCAGGCTACATCTGGCCAGTTCCTCTGTGACTGTGCAGTCAGTGAGGCTTAGGAACCTAAGCCCCTGGATCTCTGCACTATTAATATACCGAAGAGCACCGGGTTCTGGGCCAAGGTGGACATGGTTGTTAAGGTTGACTGGTTTTAATCCAGCTCCCAGATTCCCCCCCAAATCATGAAATCTTCAATTTGCTCTGCCTTTCCACAGAGCCCACACTGTCGGCTCGACATCGTTCCACCCTCATTTGCTGTAGAGCTCTCCTTTATTAACTTGCTCCATTTAACCACGCTGAAGCTCTGCTTAACTTTGCTTTTCTGGGTTTCCTTACCTCTTCAATGTCCTGCAATGGCAGCCAGTGTTTGTCCTGTGTTGGTGCAGACAAGCCCAGTCTCTATGGGCCGCACCGAACGTTTCTGCCCGTGGAGTGTAGGATGGTCAGAATTTAAAAGGACAGATCGACTGTGGTGCCTCCTCAGTCCTCCTCCTGCTTTTACAAGGACATTTCACCAGGCTGCAGCTCTCTTTCAGTACTTGCCTTGTTGGGTAGTTTTTGTTTCTAAATTTCCAAGTCATTAAGATCAGTTTGTCTTGATGTTAAAAAAAAAAACATTTGCCTATCTGTTTTTTGATAAATCATGTGTGGCAGATTTGTTTTGGGGGCCTTTATTTTGATCAAAAATGCGGCCTTTTCAGCTGCACATTTTTTTCCATGAGATCTGTTACTATTTTCTCTTCTTAATCTGTGCTTTTTTTAGTACGCCACCAGTAACAGCCTTTTGTTGTTTTTTTTTCCCCCTTCTTGCAGGTCATCACACAACGAGCTTGAAAAGCATAGGTAAGTGACTGGAGAGACCACTTCCTATTCCACTGGCCCTTTTCCGCTATTCCAGTATTGAGGAATAACTGGGGTGGACTTTTTGTATGTGTTTGTGTGTGCATGTATTTTAAGAAATTCAGCTACTTCTTCTAATCACAAGAGCTGTCTTGTCGGATTTGCACTTTTTCTATGCTCCTGTGGCAGACATTTCTTGCTCAGATCCATTTCAGCCTGTGGTCAGGGCTTAGTGCTCTGTGATGCTTAGCTTGTTCCACACTCCCACCACCCTTGGCGTAAAGAAGTGCCTCCTGCTCTCGGTTTTTAAATGCAGTTCCAATTTGTTCCTTGTACAGCAGATTACCTTTTACTGTACATATGTGTATTGAACACCAAACCCTGTTTACTTGCTTGAAAGGTAGTTGTAGGTGACGAGTTCTGATAATTTAAAACGGCTCTGGCCTTTAGTGTGGAAAGCAAATACATTCAGCCGACCTGTCAGTCCACTTCAGCTGCAAATCGTATGTTTCAAGGATGAGCACGTCAGAGTTTGGTCAAATGATCTGTCCCTCCTGTGTGCACTGCACACCTCTGTGCAAAGTGCCTGTTGCTCCAGCAAGGGAAAGTGTGTTTCATGCAGACCCTGTTTCAGGCTGCTGTCTGTGACGTGCTCAAAGGGACACAACTTGTAGAGCTCTTGGCCTGGAGTTTGGAGTTAATGAAAAGGTCAGTCAGGTCAGTTTGAGGAAGTGGAGACCTGTGCTTCAGGTTCTGTATAGACTTGATCGGCACCAGAGACTGTCACCGAGAGAGGATCAGCACAGCAAACCTTCAACAGTGAGATCAGCTCCTGGAGAAAGCGGTGTCACTTAGACTTTGACGGGCAGTGCGTGTCTTTTTAACATCCAGGACATTTTATTCTTGTGCCGTACGAGAAATCAGCGAAAGGATCTCTTCTCGTGTCCTGTGGGATAAATGCTGAATGTAGTGGTGATTTCTTTTTTTTATCGGCTCTACAGTTTTAGCGGTGCTTCCTCTAGATACCAGAACGCCTAAGGATGTGGATCTTGTCTCTTGTAGAGGGGATTAAAAGAGGATGAAATGTAAACCTAATTTAAGTTTTTTTTTTCTTACATGTGAATACATGGATACAGAATATACAGAAATAATTGAGTGAGTCTGATGTTCTGGTTATACAGGCTGTTTAAATTAGCCTGTATTTTGCACTACAGCTAGTCCTGTACTGAGATAGCTTTAGCAAGGTGATATGTTGCGAGTTGTGATCTCTTGGTGTGTTGGTCACATGGTGGTGAGTAACTGCTGAAATGAGCAAAACATGTATGGGCATATATCCTCACAGCCTGACTGCACTGTAACACTGGAGAATTGAGTTCACTTCCTTTTTTGGGGGCAGTGGGTGGTTGTAAATGTAAAGAAACCGAGAAACTGTGTCTTTGAAAACAATTTTATTTTGCTCTGCAAGACGTTCTCTGAATCACTAACCAGTTTTTTTGCTGATTATTGGCGATAAGAGAAAAGGGGGGAAAAAACGTTTTGTTTCAGCCCCCAGCTGTGTTTGTAGGTGATTTTGTATAGCTTGGTGTAGTACTGTATATATTTTCACAAATCGTCCCCTCCCTCATTCTGAAAGGTGTTCTGGTGGCTTGAATCTGAATTAATCAGATTTTATATTTTGCAGATTTTATGTCTCTTGCATCTCTTATGCTACACCATAAAAATAGGATATACATTATAATAATAAGTCGTTGAATTTTCGATTGGTGTTCCTGAAATGTTTATCACTGTGGTCATTTAGAAGCACTGGCAAATTATTGCTCACTGACTGTAGGAATGTTTACAACATTACATCCATTTCTCAAAGTTCTGTATGATACAGTATCTTGAATTGAGAGTTCCTTGATAAGTAATGAAGTCTTATAAGTTGTAACATGTTTGTGTTGCACTTAAACCTGTAGTAGAACCATTTTTTCTGTTAAAGTAATCATATCTTTGTTTGTTGTGCCTTAAAAGCCCTGAACTGTTTTCTTTTTAACTGATAATCATAGCTCAATGCATGTCATAAACTGTGTCTTTACTGGGTGCATTTTTCTGCTGCTGATGTATTCTAGTAATGTTTTGTGTTAAAATGTTTAATCTTAAAATGTTAATGCCTGAACATGACGCTGTATTTCCAGTGAAGCAAGACTCATTTCTTTGTAAGGCTGTGTTGCAAGATTTATGTTCAAGGTATTTCTGTTGAAACACTTTGATTCCCAGTGTAAGTTGTCTTGCATAAACCTTTTTCTTGAATGACACAGTGAATTTCAAAAAGTGCAGGTTATTGTTATTATCAGGCACCATCATTGTCAAAATTGTTTGCTTGTTGGTGCTGTGCTTTAGTGTGAAAACTGATGATACCGCAATGTGTCACACTGTGTGGAGAGATGCTGAATAAATAGCCTGGTTAATTTTAATTTAAGACAAGAATTGATGTCTTAAATGTTGTTATGTTGGAAATCTTGCCTTTTTATAGTGTGATCTTGACTTTCATTGCCTTTGGTAATTCACTCACAGAACTGCTCAACACAAAAAGATTTTCCTGTATGGAGTTTGCCTGCTGGAATCCGTTACCAGTTTAAAAGTATCCCATATTCAGGGACAGAAGAACCAGGCAGATGTAATCGGATTCTGAGGCCTAGTTTTGTGCATAATGAGGCGCTATAGAGAGAGAGGTGTATTAATGTTACAGAGCCTCAGAATAGTGGAAGCCCTCTTATGAGTCTGCTAAACAAGCCTTTCACTTATGTTTTGCACGCAGGATATTTTTGTCAAGACCCCGACGACAGGTCGCTCTTTAGTCCTTAATCGGGGGAGTAATTAATTCTTAAAGCCGTCAGAAAAGTTAATGATTACAGGCTTTGCACTGGGAGGGGGGCAGAAAAAGCTCAGGAAACGGCCTGTTGCCTTCCTGTGGATGTGATTAATCAAAAACAAAAATAAAGGAAAGCCAGTGCAACAGGGGGACATTCAAACGCTTTCTTTCCATAAGCAGTTGCGTTTTGTTTTGTGTTTCTATCCTGCGCGGCGGCGGCTCACTTGAGAACGGCGAGCAGTGCCCCCACACTCCTGGGGGTCAGCAGAGATCTGGGGTGGAGATCGGTAAATTGCAAAGCGCTGCTGTCTCTTTTGACCCAACTCTGACCTTTAGATATGTATTTCATTTTTTACCTTTTGACTCGACAGAAAACGCGCCTGATAAAAGCGTCGGCAGGGTTGCTGGACTCTGCTCTGATCAAATCCTGGTTGTTCTTCCTGCGTCCCTCGGCTGCTGCTGCAGTTGGCCCCCGTTGCAGCTTATCGCTGGCAGGGCCGTCGCTGCCCTGCAGCGAGCTGGAATGGCGTGTCATTTCTGCAGAGCATTACTCATCCCCGGCCGCGTGCACGCCCGCCACTCGAGCTGAGCGCCGCGGAGAGCTGCCAAGTGCGACTGTGACGTCAAGACGTGGACGACTGTGGCACTGGTGGTTTTTTGTTGTTTTTTTTTTTGGGCTAAGCTTCTTCCTTTTGCCTCTCCCTCTCCTTTGGCTATTTTCTGCTGCGGGTCCACGTCGAGATCTGTAAAACCGTGCTGCAGCGAAACCTGGCCGCCCCCCTGCTTTGGTGCCTTTTCTGACCCGCCTTCAACGTGAAGATGTGTCTCACGGATTTTTCAGAACTGGACGACCCCTCCAACCTCCCCTCCCAGTTGGTCGCACGCTGCTAAGGAGTCCTTGACAAACAGGAAATGAGAGAAATAGTCCTGCAAAAAAAAAAAAAGCCTCCTTCTTTTTTTCTCACAGTGCTTTTTAATGAAGCAAAACAAAAGTGTTTGTGGTACCTTTTCTTTCTGCAGGCCTCCGCTCTAGTTATCTGTGCAAGTGAAATGTCATGCAAACACATTTCTAAAAGGAATATTCCATTTGCTTCTTTCTACTGAAATCCAAAGTGTGTGCAGTAGCAGAAATTCATCTGAAGTCAGAAGTAACACGGAGAAAATTATGCAGTGCTCTTTGGTCACCAGAGATGGAATATCATACCGATTTCAGTGTCTCTGACTGCAAAACATTTGGGGTTTGGGTCTGACCAGTTCATAAGCATATTGAAGATCCGTCAATTGTTTTGACATGAATTATACTTGGGTATTGGTTCCCTGAGTGCTGTTGGCCTGCCTGTCTCAGGTAGGCTGGCCCTGAGCGCTGTTGGTGTACCTGTCTGAGGTGGGATGGCACTGAGCGCTGTTGGTGTACCTGTCTGAGGTGGGCTGGCACTGAGCGCTGTTGATGTACCTGTCTGAGGTGGGCTGGCCCTGAGCTCTGTTGGTGTACCTGTCTCAGGTGGGCTGTGTCAAATTACTACTGGCTTGTACACAGATATTGCAGTTTAAACTGGAGGAACAATATTATTAAAATGTTTTTTTTGCAATGTAAGGGCGTTAAATTTACATTTGAGAATTATAATTTTAGGTGTTTGCAATGTAAGGGCGTTAAATTTTAGGTGTTTAAGTGATTTTTAATTGCACTTGCCATTCAAAAAAACATCCATTCTGTCTGAGCTTGTGGCTTTGTTTGGGTTTCACTAACCCACCAGAAAGAAAAATAGAAACTTGCACTGAACTCTTGAGTTATGGTCCTGATGTCAATGTTAACTTATTGTAAAACGTTTTACATTCTTTTAAAGTAACAGGTCACTATTGGGGGTTCACTCCAAAGAGCTTAAGAATTTAACACAATCAGATTTCTCGTTCTCCTTCTTTTCCTGCAATCTTGTTGATATTGGGAGTGCTTACAGGGTAAGGCGGTGGAAATCGGACTTTTTTACCCCTTCAGTGCAGTGAGCAACTCATCCTTACTAAATATCCATCACATCAATCCTCCCATATAATCATTCTCTATTCATTTAAGGGTCACAGGGGAGCTGGAGTCTATCCCAGCAAGCAACAGGCACAAGGCAGGCTACACCCTGGGCAGGACGCCATTGTGTGT